TTTTTTTGGTTTTTTGTTTTTTTGGTTTATTGGTTTTTTGTTTTTTTGGTATTCCCTCTAAATTGGGATAGGCTTGGATCTCACAAAATTGATCAAAAAAGAGCTCAAAACCTCAATCTTGAGAGGTTTTTGCCAGAAATCACTGTAAAACACAGTGTTTTTGCATCATTTTTTGCATGAAAAACATCTCCCAGGAGCACCCGTTCTGTAATTTTATTGGCGAACAATTTTGCTTCCGGCCAGCTACCATTTACCATAGCCTTTTCCAAGCCCCCGTGCTTTGCCCTTACCCGATCTAATTCCGCCACAAAAAAGCAACCAAAAATAGGCCTACCAAACGTCACTTTCTACCGGTAAGAAACGTTGAATCATTGATGTCAACTCCTTCACCAACAGTGTCCTCTTGCGCGCTCCCCCGAGAGCGGGATGGGCGGATATACATTGAGTGTTTGGGGGATAGATTCACCAAACCCAACACTAGAGTCTTATTCCAGGGAGGACGGGAGGGAATCCCACCCCTGAACTCGCGAGTGGAGATTCACCACACCTTTGATCCGCGACTTGGAATGTCCTTGGGAGACTCCATAGATGTAATCTGGTGCATTAACAATGAACAGTTAACACATACAAATACAACAAATGTATACATAAACCCATGATATATATATATTTTTTTTTTCTGATTCATCTTCGTTTGTGCCAATATTCAGTGCAGGGTGACCCGTGATTCTCGAGGCTCGGAAGTTGGAGCTGCGCCGTGCTGGGCGGGTCGAAGCGAGGCCCCGGGATTGGAGGGTTTGGACAAGTGGATCATATCGATTGGCGGTTTGTTTGTGTTCAATAAATGTTATTTGTTTTGATGTTTTCATGTGTGTAATAAACCCGGGAATTTGTGGGAAAGGGGCTCGGTTGCTCGTTTTTTTGGACCAGGCCGGTAGACCGGCATGGTTTTTCTTTCATTTGACCCTGAGTCCGTTGGGGTGCATTGTGTGTTTGTTTGTTTGTTTGCTTTTGGAAGATGTTTTGATGCAAGGTGGATGCCAGGGTTATTTTCTTGCCGTTTGTCAGCATCAAAATTTTGACCGGGTAAGAAGGTATGATAATATAATATGAACATGATTTACGACGCAAGATATGAAAAGGAACCTTTCGGATGTACCGGGATTGAAGTGACCTGACTGACAAGTATATCCCACATTGAGTTAGTCTTCGGGTGGGGTGCTAACTTGAGACACAGGTCTTAGAACGCATTCGAATAGGGGGTGCTGTACATGTTCGAAGATTCCACCTGTCTTCCCCCTTTCAGGGCAAAGATAGACCTATAGGGGCTGCGCAGGGGACCAACGGACCCGGGTCTCCTGGCCCGAGCGTTTGTCTGGTATGGCCGCAGTCCTCAACCGTTCTCAAGATTTGAAGATGGAGTCCAAACGCTGGGGATCCAAGTACATTCTTCTGAAGGATTGGAGACACAGTTATGTAGAATTGGAGGGACAAGTCTACCTTCTGAGAAGGTACTTGAATCCCTACAGGGAAAGGAAGACGATGTTACCATCCAACTGGGTTCCCAGTTCAACTGGCTGTGTCTTGCGAGACAACGGTCAATCGATTCATCATCTTCTAGGAATGTAAGCTGGCCTCATCCTCCAAGTACAATGGTATGATCGGCTGCTTTTGCTCGACCCTTTCAGCTGGGAGTTGAGCGTTAAAAGATGTTAAAGCAGCTCGGTCGATCTACTTCAGCAGTTCCATAAATCGGGGTGTCCTATAGGTGCCCCAGACGAGCCACTCACTGGGGGGTCCAAGCACCACGCAAAGGCCTACCAAACGGCCGGCCTGGCCTAGTCCCATCCGGTGGATGTGCTGCGCGTGTCGTTCGGCAGAAAGAACTCCGGAACTGCGCAGCACGGTGAACTCCCAGTGACCTCCACCACGCCATGGGGTTTCAGTATATATATACACTAGTATATATACATGAAGTTTTTGGGGAAACAACCACCAGGGGGGGGCCGACCCAAACTATGACACAGCCTGTTTGGGAAAGGGTATTGTTGCTGATCGGTTGAGGTGGTTGATTTCCGGGGTCTTTCTGGGGTGGCATCGATTCCAGTCGCATGGGTCGTGTCTCCCTAACAATCCATGGAACTGGATAATTTGCGCGTGATGTTTAAGATTTCTTTACCCGGACCCAGACGCTCCATGTATGCCATATATGCCTACATTGATTCCCAAAACCACCCCAATGTAGGCATATATGGCATACATGGAGTGTCTAAGTTAGGTCACTCAGGTTCTATAGATGTAATCCTCGCTGCCATTGACCTCGTGGCAGGCCCTGGGTGAATCCGCCCTTCTCTCCGAGGCGGGACGAATGCGGAGCTGAAGAAAAGGGCTTCGAGAGGTGGAAGATTGATACCCCACTCTCCAAGTACCTTCTCAGAAGGTACGACTGGACCTGCTGGCACTTACATGACAGTGTCTCCAATCACCGTACCTGAGAAGGTACGACTGGATCATACTGGATCCCTAGGGTGTTTTGAGGAACAAGACATGTGAAACGATGCGCGGACCTCGACTGTTTCCATGGGAAACCTGGAGTGAGACTTCCTGTTGTAAGACTTCTCTGTGCTGTGCCCGGTCTCAGACGTCTCCACCGAGGCCGCCGCCGCGGAAGCGCACGCCGCGCAAGAAGTCGGGTCGCCCCAGCGGAGCGAAGACCGGCGCTTTCCAATCTGAACTGATGTGTCTAGCTGAACTGATGAGGGCCAGGGGGTTTCTCCACCTCAGGAGAAGGTGGAATGTCCCGTTGTTTTGTTGGAACGCGACGGAACGGCCCGAGAAAGGTTCAGTCGCACGCGTGTTCGACCCATGCGACTGAAAGGATCGACCAAGAGGTCACTTTGAAGCACCAAGAAACTCATAGAACTGAATGACTCGTGCCTCGGAGTCAAACATGTTCTTTTCAGGCCATTTCTGGATCCAATACAGCTCACGTTCGGGCTCCAGTTCTAGGCTGAGTTACATATATGATAGACCGTCGAACCAAGGACCTGACCTCATAAGAATCACCTCCTCGGTCACTAAAATAACGGACATGCCACCGCTGCTTCTATTTGGGCTTAGGCAGCTCGCAGGCAAAAACGACCACTGTGCAAGGGTCCACGCAAGTTATTCGACTAGTGCATGAACATTTTGTTGAAGAGAGAAAGGATATGTTCCAGTCCAATGTCCAGAACGTCGTCGATCTTTTGGCCTGCCAATGCGGCGTGGCCTGACTGCGGGGCTAATAGGAAATGGCTCCAATGCGTGCCTCTACGGAGGACTTCAGGAAGGCTGTTTCTGCAAATCCGCTGCACAAGTCCTGCAAACTCTAATCACTTCACCCATCCCTGAGGCACATCTCCAAACATTCCCGGACACTCCATGGGACTGCCATATATGCCTACATTGGGGTGGTTTGGGGGGTTATATAATGTAGGTAAATATGCCAGTCCCGGACAGGTCCTGTCTGGGATTGGAGTTCACTCTCCAACTATCCCAAACATCACTTTCCCAACACGCCTTTCACCCAATAACACTCCCCCACCGAAAAACTCCAAAGCAATGCGCAGCAAAAGCCTTTCGCCCAATGATGTCCATACTTGGATAGAATAGAGGGGTCGATACCTGGTACCTAAATATACATCCATGCATATGTTATATATACTATTTATATACTATATTTACTATTCAGGACCTATTGCTTTATACACCACACCTTGGGTATATTCCCTTCTACTCAACCGACCACGGCTGTTTGCCATCTTTCACGCCGGCCGCTTTCTCAGTGTGTCGAGGTATCCGGTGCATCCCACGGATCCCCTGGCGCCTCGCCACCCTTCGGCGTCGCTGAGGTCGTCGGTCGCCGTGGGATTCGGGGGTGGCGAAGCCGGGTGTCGTGCCGAGTTTCGGACGCGATACGGTAGAACTAGTTCCCACCCCAAAGACCTTCGAAGCAAAGGTACATGGTACCACTAAGGGCTCTTGTGGGAAGGCCATCAAGGAATTGTTAGTTGAAGCAGAAGCTGATGGTGGGTGTTCTAATTAACATGATTCATTTAGGTTGCTGTGCAGACGGTGGAGGCGTTAAAGTGTTCATGCAAAGCTTGAAAGCAACCACAATGCCTATCCATTCAGTGGATAACCTTTCACCATTCTTGGGAGATTGTTTTCCCATGTTTTCCCCAGTCAAATTGAAAGGTCGACAAAAAAGAGTGTCGAGGGTACAGTCAGTCTGGCGCCAGCTGGATAAAGCTAGGAAAACCCATTCTCCGTGCTTGGTCCTCTATGAAATTGTCCTTTGAACTCCAAGAAATGCCTTTTGGACCCTGATTTTCGGATTTTATAGAGAGTGACTACCCTTATGTTTTCTGATCTTCGGCTGAAGGGAGTCCGAATCCAAAGCTCGAAACAGGCTGCCTGGGGGCCAGTGAACTGGATTCACGCACCGAAAAACGTGCGACCCAAGACGCGCGAACGAACGCGCGAACGAACGCGAACGCGCGACCGAGTCGGCGGGGGGGTCCGAGGAGTGAAATCGCAGACTTGCCATCGATAACATAGCCTTGCGCATACTTGCCATGACCTGTAAGAGTCACAACTTTAGAACAGGTCGCTCAAGCCCAACGCAGCTTTTCAACGAAGGGAACCTGTAACAGTCAAAAGATGGTCACATATTGTCACCTATTTTTCAGAAAGGCCTGCAATTTACTGACCATCATCATCCACATTTTGCAGGGAATAGGATATATGGAACATGAATCACATGTCTCTTTGGTCAATGAATGCTCCCTTGGAGACATGTCTCGCACGATTTTTCGCTGTGCCTTCGCTGTGCCAACCAACCAAGGCTTCTCTCGACAAACCGAGGAGAGGGACAGGATGGGTGGTTGTTTCTGATTAAAACTTAATTTGTGTTTCATTTTCCTGGGGTTCCCTTTGAGACGTCTGTCCCCTAATCCAAATATACCCATGGAGCCAGGGGTTAGCCAGGGAGTCCGAACGAACATGGATGGCCCACGAAGGCCTGGACTCATCCTCCTGGTTTTCAAAAAAGCCAGAAGGCCACACAAACCTCACGTTTGAAAAGGGTCGCATCTGCAGATGCGCGCAAACTATACCTCCGTTTTGAAGGTGGTTGGGGTGAGTGCCAGGGGTTCTAACCATCTTCTTGAGGATATGTGCCAGGAGCCCTAGGGATTCTCGTGCACACTCGAAGCCTTCTGGGCGTTCGCATTGGACGTCGAACGGAACTTCCATTGGTTCGCTCGGTGTTGGTTCCAATCACTGGTGAAGATTTGACTCGGTCCCAGACACTACTACACTATATAATATATATATATATATAACTCCTGGGGATCCAAGTACCTTCTCAAAAGGTGATTGCATATGTAAGCTTGGAGGGCCCAAGTACCTTCTGAGAAGGTATGTGGATCCCTAGGGTATATATAACATATTATATATGGATTCCTGTTCACCCCAAATGCCTTGGATTCTAAGGTAGGTCCACTTGGCTTAACCAACTCAGTCACCCACAACTGTTGGAACAAAACACTGCCACCTGTGTGGTGAGATGGTATGCTCATGTTGGATTTGTTGCTCAGAAATTTGTTGCTAAGAATCTGCTTGGAGAAGGTTCCCAATCAAGCAGTTTTTCATTTTACCAGGTCAAAACCCACACCTTACATAAAGGATCGCCGTGCACTCCTTAGGAGGCGAAGGCCACGCAACTCACCGAACAAGGCCTTTTCGGGGGCCCACGCGGTGGTGGTCGACGCTCCAAAGCGGTTGGGCTGAGGGAACCGAGCCCTGCGGCAAGGTTCTGGAATCGCCTGGCGAGGTTTGATCTTATTCCCAGACACGACCTGCCTGGGACTGCCATATATGCCGCCCCATTGACCCCCAAAACCACCCCAAGGTAGGCATATATGGCATACATGGAGTGTCTGGGATTTGTCCTTTATTGTTTTGTTTCTTCATTCTACCAGGTGTAGGGAGTCTTGCTGGGGAGTGTTCCCGTGGATACTCTAATCTGTAGAGCTTGAAAGACTCACTGAAAAGCCGGTTTGCTTGTAGATGCTTGTACGACCAGCAAAATGAGGTCCTTGATCGAAATGGACCTGTATTGAAATAGGGAGACCTTCCAGTTCGACCCGAAAGAAGAGAAATGGACCAAAAAGCCAGTTTGCCAGGGTGTTTTCCTATTTAAAAAACCATGGTGCTATATGTCTTTATGTGTGTGATCTCTTCACTCACTTCTCGGTTGTTGAATACAAGGCTGCCGACAAGGCCGGTCCAACAAGCCCGGGCTTCGTTGCCAATCCTGCGCACCGTCGAAGGGACCAGGTTGTGGTATCCAGTCGTCCAGCTCCAGTCGTACCTCCGAAGGTTCAGAAGGTATGACTGGACCGTCCAGACTCTAAACCCACCCCAGTCCCACCTTCTCAGAAGGGTCGACTGCAGCCCCAGGGTGTGGATGGTTGGCGAGCTTTTCGATGGGTGAATCGATGTGCTTTGAACCGCTGGAACGTTTTTCTACAGTGACAGGCTTCAATATCGGAAAGCAAAAAAAACTGAAAGGTTTCATCAGGTGTTTGATGTTAATTTCTGCCCTTTTCATGATTTTTGACTAGACTATAGGCAATATTTTGTGTTCCCTATAAAAGGTTAATTCCCTTCATGGGCCATGGGAGCCCAAGTTTTATTGGAGTCTACAAATGTTTAAATATATAGAGTGACAGCATTTGGCATCTGGCAGTCTGGTTGGCGCCTGCATGCACCTGCATGCGCTTCCACCTCCTCGCCAGGTGTCAGTCGACTCCACCAGTTGAGATGGCCCTCGCTGGAGCTGGAAGTCAGCTGCAATTCAGTCCACTGTGACGTCCGGTGTTCATAGGTGTCACAAATCCATGCCTCATAGGTGTTCAGTCCGGTGTGGTTTATATATATGTTCAGCACGGTGTTCAGCACGGTGTTCAGTCCGGTGGCTTAAGGGACCTCGAAGGATTCCAGGGGTCATGTTGATCGGATCTTCTCACCGGTCACTGGTCGGAGCGTGGACGGAAGCATCGCGCCATATCCCACCTTTAGGGCAAATCTGTGGAATCCTGGAGATTTGGGACGCCTGACATGCTTTGCTTGAGCGCTTAGTATGCTGTTTGGAGGTCTGGCTGTCTGGCAAGTTTTCCCCTTTTTTGAAGGATGGTTGCAACATGAAGGGATTCCGAAAAGGACATGGAAACTAGGGATTCAGCACGGGTCAATGTAGAATTGTATAATATATATATATATATGTATACTGTATACATATAAATTGAAGCTGACAATCACATGACAATGCCCTTTTGTTGTGCGTGGGAGAAGCGTTCAATCTCCAAGATCACACAGATTTCAAAGCTTTTCAGATCTTGCTGCCGAACCAAAGGCAGTGGCAGCCGAAACATCTGCGGCAGCTGCGCCAGCCAGCGGATGAAAAAAATGTGAAGCAGCAAAACTGGTACCGGGATTGAGTAATGAAGGATTGTTTTCTAGATGTTCTGCGCCGACCAGGGTCGCCCAGCACTCGACTGTTGCGAGCTTACGCAGTCTTCCTTCTTAGCGTGGATAGACGGCCAAATTTGAGTGCTCAGTTCAGAAGAGCTGTTCCCATCAAGAACGCCGTCGCAGGCAAGGGTGTTGACGTGTTGACCTGAAGCCTTGCGAGCTGCGTGCTGTTGCAAGTCTGATCGCCCATGACGACCGCATGACGACAACGGGTTTCCCCCCGAACGCTACATGGAGGCGCCCCAGGCTCGTCTCCGGTTCTACAGCGCGGCTACGTTCGGACGTTCCCTCCTTGCCAGTATGTCCGGGCATCCCATGTGTGCTGCGTCACCGCCGGGAGCAGGAAGGAACCAGACTCCTTCCTGTTGGCGTTTCACACCCCCAGCTTTCAGAGGGCTACTCCACAGGCTCCCCGCGCCCGTTTGCTGGTGTCGTTGTGGATGCCACACGTTCCTTCCATGGCATGCCAACGGCATCCATCAGCTGTTGGCCTGCTCCGTTTCTTCTTTCCGCTCGACCGCAGCCTCACGAAGCCCCACGAAACGCCCACGTTGAACACGCGGCAGACACGACCAGGGTGGCCAGGCCGCCTTGATCGTAAGCCACGCCGGAGGATGGATCCGTTCTGAATGCAATCCCTCATGATTAATGTATTGGATGTCCCAGATAGGATAGAGGTGAGATTCTTCGAACTCAAGGTGCCAAAAGAGATGGACGATTGACTGTCAAGTACCTGTTCTCATTGGTTGGGGACTAAATTCGAAGCCCCTCTTTCGAGTCCAACCGATCCAGAAAGATTCGGAAGTGATGATGTGTTTCTCGTAGTCGAATTCTTTTCGATCATACGTGGCATGTAAAGATCAGAAAACGCTTTTAAACACATTAAGAATGCGGAGCGGTATTGTTCTCTTCCATTCGTCCCCCAAAAAGGATTGTGACAGGAAGCCTTCAGCTACAGAACTTCTTTAGGTTGGAGGCCATCGCTAGTAGGTTGGAAGCCTGTAGGTTGGAGGCTATCGCTAGTAAGGCCATCGAAGGTTCTAAACTTGCAAGGTTGAGATGCGCTGAATGAGGAATTCTCTCTCTCTCTCTCTCTGTCTCTGTCTCTCCGGATCTATTCAGATCTCCATGAGTTTGGTCGACCAAGCTGGTCTTGGCCAGCTGAAGCGCCCATCAGCCTCAACAGCCGCTTCACCTCACTTCCACTACGACGAACGTCATTTGCTTCAACTGCAGCTTGGGCCTTTACGAAAACCCCGTGAGAAAAGGCCCACCACGTGAAAACTAGTAGGTTTGGGGTTGAAGAGATTGGTGTGTGCGTGTCCACCTTACATATCTAAATATGTTCAAGTCTTTTGTTCAACTCTTTTTGCACATGCTGACTGAAAATACACAACATGTGAACATACACAACATGTTGGACAGGAACCACGTGCATTGTACAGCTGTCTTCATGGAACTGACGGCAAATCAAATCCACAAGAACCAGCCAGAACCTTGTCAGGAGCAAACACAAACACCACACACACAACAGGGGGCTAGAGAAACCATTATATAACACACAGGCAAACAAAGACTGTACCTGAATCCATGTCAGTTCTTTGCTTTTGGCATCTTTTGGCCAATCATACCCACGCCAACTGTAGCAATCCCAAAATTCGTGCCAGAGATCAAGTCTCTATATAAATATATAATGTATATATGAATATATTTAGATATCTTTAGTTCTTTCTTTTCCAGAGCCTGGCGTTTGGTCCTCCTTGGCCTCACCCCCCTTTACAGCGCCGCGTTCCAACGCCGGCTCTCCTCGTGGCCCGGCCCAGCTCCCCCTGTCCCGGACCGGACCGGACGTCGCGACGAACAACGAAGCCAAAGCACGAAAGGTCTGGCGTTTTGGGGAGAAAGCCACTGTGACGAGACACGCACTGCCGGCGACGGACGCTATGCAAAAGTGAAGAAACAAACACCGAAAGCGAAGAGATGAGCAGACATGGTCCACCTACCAGGATTTTCGGGAGCTCCAGGTTTGGACCCATGCCGCAGCCCTGGAGGCGCTGGGACATGGAGCTCCAGGTGAGCTTTGCTTTTGTGAGCTGGCGTGCTACATGAGGAGTGACACCCAGCCATACATACTTATGATCCTCCATGCAGGTTCAAGCACGCACAGACAGAGGCTAACCTGCAAGAATACAACCTGCCAGGACAAACATGCCAGCAATGCAGTAGAGGCTTACGGCAACAAAAGTTGGACTGGAGTAGAGGCTTGCGGCTTCGGCGCTTTCCACCATAAAGCCAGACCACAAGAGATCAAGGACCGAACACAAACATCCTTGTTTACATCCGCCCACTGTTAGCAACCGAGGAACGCCCCTCACAAAAACCATTCACCTGACGGCGGTTCAAACACCTAGCGTGTGACTGTAGAAGCAGGACTGAGTAGTGATTTGGTTTCGATGCGCTATCAGAAACAAGTAGCACGGACGTAGTCTTGCGACACGTCAGTAGCACGCTCCTGTGCCCGGAGTTCTTTGTACTGTAAGATGTTTGCCATGGAACTGTGGCTTTCACCTGAAGAGAAGACACCGACCGAGGGATGATTCCAGTTGTGCTTGGCCGGGGCTGTTCGAGGCATTCGACGCCCAAACCGACCCGAGACATGTTGGAGTGAACCTGGAAGGGGAAGGGGTCCACAGCATGGATTTTAAGGTTGGAAAGGTGGCTGAAGGATGGCCAGTTAGGCCTGAAGGATGGCCAGTTAGGCCTGAAGGATGGCCAGGTTGGAAAGCATGGATTTTAAGATGGCCAGTTGGTTGTGCGTGTGTGTTTTTAAAGAACAGGCCTGGCGGGGGGGACGTTGGGGGGGATGCTTCTGCGCTGCCCGTTTGGTGTGAGCAGTATGGGTTTCCCCATGCCAACCAGAAGAAGAGAAAACAGACAACACATCGATGTATAGGGGGGCTTTCTCTTTATTTCCTGTGTGCTATGAATGGGTTTGGTTCACAAGAAGGTGTGCTCACACGGAACCGGAACCTACTGCGTTGAATTAAAGCAGTTTAAGTTTCTGACCAGAACGGGGGCGTGTTTTCAATTTTAAAGGTTTGCCAAATGGGTTTGCCATGGTTTTCCAAGGACATGGCTCACTTAAATAAAGATGTATATATTTAAACGAACAAGTGTAATTAATTGGTCTAGATCAATCGTTTGTGTGTGGCCTTGCGTTGCTGCAACGGGCTGGAGAACCGCATGCAATATACAGAAGCATTGTTCAAACAAACTTGAGTTTGCCACGGGCTCCATTCCATTCTATGTATATATATTAGGTTGTAATTATTTTTTTGCCGCTGCGACCGTTGCAAAATAATAATGCGAGAAGGTCGGCAGCACAAATACGGCAACATGGTGTTTGCCGCATGGTGTTTTTGTGACCGGTGTTGTCCAAAATTTGTTATATGTTTTTTGCTTCCTGTCGCCAACTGTGGGCCCCCAAGGATGGAAAAATTAAGAGAAAAAACATGGAACGGGGATCCTAAGCCTGGCCAAATACAAGTTCAATAAACCGCGGCTGCCACTAGTACCCCGATGCCTACTTGGAGTGCAGTTGGCACGTTTTTCTTCTACTCAACTTAACCTGACCATAGAGTGATTCCATTCCATTCCACTGGTTCACCAACACCACACAATTGTTGAGTTGTCCTGTTGTTGGTCGTGTTCCTTCCCGGATGCTTTTGGACACAACGTGCAAACAATGCATCACGACTTGGCCAACATAACTCTCCACACTTTCACGCCTCAAACACACTGCTTGGGGTCTCTTGCCGGGATAAGATCTTGTATTTCATGGTCAGTGGGAAACGGTGTAACAATGCGTCCGTTCCCTGGCCAATCGTCAATGCGTCCAGGCGTTTCTGTGCATTAGTTGTTGTTTGTGCCATTGTTCTGTGGCTCTTCTTTTGGGCGTGCCCGCAGCAAGCTGGAGTTTCGATCTTGCACCTTGTGGTTGCAATCGGCGCGATCGGCGGGCTACTTTGGCTCTCTCATGGACCCCGGGCGTGAAATCACAGATGTAGTTCGACACCCGGAAAGGCCGTCATGAGCCCCCCTTCCGGGGAAGACGCGCCTGCAGAGCAACCTGGCGAGGTGCGGAACGGAACCGTCCTCGCAATTCACAAAGGTGGAAATCAAACGGCTAATGACAAGCATGGTTCATGCATATACATACACAATCGCACATACTTGTGTGGTAGCATGCGGCATGCGGCAGTAATATTCCAATGCACGGTGCGTTCAGAGCTTGCGACCCAAAATGCGGCCAGCGATTCCCAAGTCTTCCCAAGCTACGAAATATACAGGTGTTTT